GACAACATTTCACAGAAGCAGGATGTTGGCTGCCATCATCTATGAATCTATGAATCATTCCCTGCTTTACCTGTGGCAATTTAGGGTGTTAGGTCTGTGCTGCGTCAAGGCTGATGGTAGCCTTATGTAGATAGTAGTCTTATGTAGAGTTTAGAATATGAATTGTATAGAATGGTTTGGATAGGGATGATCCTGCCTCAGGGAGGTGCTTGAACTAGATGAGGTCTTTTCCAGCCCTACTTCTCTATGAATTAAGCCACAGCTTTAAATAATATCTCCATAGGATGACCATACACCTAATTTATGCCCCATTTTCAAAAACCTCTCTGTTAGACAAGTACTCATTTGAAGAAACTTGATGGGACATCTGATTGAAGTGCCTCTCCCACAGAGTCATCAGCATGCTCCACTGTCAGCAGAGCTCAGAAACAGCTGTGTGCTGGACAGCAAGGGGAAGGAAGATTTATCCTGTTTTGAGATTCAAGAAATATGGTTTCACTACACCTCTAGGAACTGTCTAGCATTAACTTTTCCAGTGAAGATAATCTTTCCTTTGTAATCCATGCCACGTGATAGAGAACTGCTATCTCTACTTCATTAACTGCTGCAGGACCCTACTGGTCTTCCTTCATGCACTGGTAAAGAAGAGCAGACAGAAGAGTAGTCTATAAATTGTACCAGTCATTTGTCCTAACCCAAATTCCTATCTTTTTTACAAGAAGCCTTCCACAAATCAACTTTAGAGAATCTATATTAATTGTACTTCCTGTTGAATAATTGCCTATTGACCTTCCAAACTGTAGCAAAATGAATTTTATAACCTACCAACTGGGTCCCTGGGCTGCTAAGTGAAAGACAGGCAACACACAGCATTATTGCCCAGGCCCACTTACTGGGAAAGAAAAGTTTCTTTCCTAGCTCCAAAAAAGGTAACCAACTTAATTCCCCAAGAGGCCCAACTTTCATCAGGAAGGGAGGTAGTGTTTTTGGTTGGCTTTATTCATCCTGGCCCAAACAAACTTCTCCCACCTCTGATATGGGAAGGTGGGATAAATGCAACCTGGCTCTAGTTTGTCTGCAAAATAGAACAATCTCCAGGTATTTGCAATGAAGCTTCAACTGTCAGAGCTGTGTTTCCTATAATGCCAGTTTTCTATCAGCAAGGCTTACTAAACAATCCTGCATTAACAATTTCATTGTAAAACTCAAAGATGTTATAAAAGTTTTGAACATTCAGAAATTCACCCTATGGAGTGAGCTGGATTCTAGTTCTACCTTGTGCATCATCAATAGGATAGTTTACTAGTTTACAACAAGCAGTATCTGCATTAGCAGACAAGGTTGCACAGGTTTCAGGGTCTAATTTGGTACATTAGTCCTTTGCTTGGTATGTCAGTGATGGTGGAAAAATTCCAGATTGCATCTCATGTAGTGGAGAAACAGATACCCACAAACTGGCATGCTGACAACGCTTATCAGAGTAGAGCTGCATTTTGAGATGCATCCTTTTATTCCCCTCCAATCTCAAACCCACATCTCAGTTTGAGGGAAAAATCAACTTTTTGCACACCTGCTGGTTTTTTTTATTAAAACTTTGAATTATGATCTGGGGAAAAGGGGTTGTATAAAAGACCTTATTTCAGACCTAATTAGGTGTAGCGATACCAGTTCTTCACAAACATTTTAGGAAACAAAACAAAACACCCTACACTCAGAAACTATTTACAGATATGCAAGTTCCACAGGAAAATTACTACACGTCAAATAAGTGCTTATTGAAAATCCAGTATAGAACAGGCAGTTTTGGTCTTTCAATGCACAAAGGTCTAGTCCCCAGTGCTGGTGGAGAAACCTAAATATTTATCTGGTTCTATTTAATGAGCTGCTTTATATTTTGTCAAAATATTCTGTTACCAATTAAAAAATAAGTTATACATTAATTATTCTGATTAGGTGCCCTCTTGCTAGCTGGAAAAAGTGGTTATGTCAGGATGCCTCATGCATTAGATACAAAGATTAGAATAGTCTTGTTTGATCTATTCCATCAACTTTCAAATGGATTCTTAGAGTCACGTGTGATCAAACTCAATATATGCATGATCCTATTCCTTCTACAAATGAAATGGTATGATTATGAACAACTTGCATGCATGCAATTAAGTAGGCAGAGTTTTTCTTTTAGCTTATTTTTAGAAGGAGATTTTTAGACTAAACCACAGAACAAAACTTTTCCTCCATCTGACAACAAGAATTCTTTCCAAATGCATCCCCCCCTTCTTTTCAAATTGGAATTTTTTTGTCACCTTTTGATTTCTGATAGGATAGAGTAACTACGGAATGTGGCTCTTAATATTTGTATATCAGATACAATATATTTGTATATCTTTGTACATAATATTATTATTTGTATATCTCTGTACATAATAATATTTGTATATCTTAATATTTGTATATCAGATGTATAGCATTTATTATCTTGTCTTTGTCCTTGAAATGACCTTTCATCAAGTAACTAAGTATTAATATTGTATTGGTGTTTGTCATCGCTTTATCACCTCTACTGATCTGTCAAAAGCTTCTTGATATGTTAAGAGTTTGAAAAAAAAGCTGAGTGAAAATGGAATTGTCTATGTAAAGAACACAGCTTACTTTTGCATTTTTTACAGCAAACTCGTTTCCGTACATAAAAGGATTATTTTATGACAAAAATCTTTCCACAAATATAATGCAGTGCCTGATACTTCGTATAGGCACATTTCTTGTTAATATTTGTAATAGGGGATACATTTCAAATACAAACCCTAAGTGTAGAAATGGCCTTATTTTTGAGAGATTAAATATATTTCTGAAGTCACCCCAATATAATTTAAGTCCTTCATTGCTTTTCCATTAACAGAGCTTCACAGATATTATTCCCACTTGTTAACAGAAGTCTAGAAGAAACAATAAGTCATTTCTCCTTTTTCGTATATGATCCAACAACCTGTTTTCCTCTTTAAAAAGTGCTCTGTATTCCACTGTCTCCATAGCAATCACATTTTTCTAAATTTCACAGTAGCAATCTGATTTTGGCATTATACGGTTCTCGCCTTTTAACTTCTTTCCTGACCTAAATTATCAAACTTAAAAGACAGACTCCCTTGGCCAAAAATGCCCACATTGATCATTTGCCTCTGGTAGTTCTCCCCACTCCCCACTCTCAGAATGCATCTGAAAGCTGCTAAACTCAGCTGGATTCATTACCTTTTTATTCTCTGTCCTGCCTTTAATGCAATGCCCTAGTGACAACATTTCTACTTTACACTTAAAAAGTAAAGCAAATTATTTAAACTGTATATCTATAAGCTCTGTTCTCACTTTGTGATCAGTTTTACATTCTACTATTTTCCTATATTAATTTCTAGAGCAAAAAATAATCTTTCATATGAAAATGCTAGTAGAAATTCAAAGAATATTAGCAGTTTCTATAGTTCCACAACAGTACTGCTTCAAACCTACAATTTACAAAAAGACAACAGATATGGTCTTCAGCAGAGTAGTTTGCTGGATGAGTGCAAATGTGAAGTATTAAATAAATGAAAGAGTTTGAAAGGGGGCAGGGGGAGGGAAGGGAAATTACCTTTAAGACCTATGAAGAACTTATTATTAAAACATTTGGCTCCTGGCATATATCTGGAAAGGCTATATTAGCTCCAATATAGTCTTTAGAAGTGCTACTATAGTCACAAGAATTTCACATTATGCTTTAGCAGTAAAGAGCAATCTGATCATGCAGACTTTTCTTTACAAAGGGACAGTTAGGGATGGGTGTGAATGCATAGCAGGGTTGCCAACTGTCCAAAAATAACCAGACTAAAAATGCCTGTGCATAAATTGTGTAAAAATGTTGTCCCATCCATAAAAACCACAAAGCAAAAATAGCTGTACAAAAAGTCAGCTGAAGAAACAGTTGAAGCTCCAAAGTTGGAAAAAGAAGCTGGAAGCAGCATTCAACCATAAAGAGCACAGCAATGCCACCAGGTACGTGAGCAGTAGTGTAGTACCCTTAAGGGGCTCTTCTCAGGGCTTTGTGGATTCTTCCTAAATTCCCCAGCCATATGTTGCTGCTGGTAATGGTGCTACTTCTCATTTGTCTGTTACACTGCTGGGTGATAGGTAAGCAGATAGTAGTCCTTCTTTTGAAGGGCCTGTGCTGGGATGAGGATGTGGGGGGAGGAAGGAGAGGTATGTGGAGAGGGAAATAGGGTGGCAGGTAAGTTGGGCAGGGGGCAAGGAATACCAAGTTATGGGGGTAAGTAGAAGACCCGTGAGGTGGGTTGGGGCAGCACAGTATAAAACCATTGCTGCAGGTCAAGTAGAGTTGCTAACTGATAAGTCTGAAAACTTTACTAACAGTCAAACTCTTTTACTATGCTTGTCCATAGTAAAAACAGGGCTGTTGCCCATGGTCTGGCAGAAAGGTTACATTTACATTATATAAAATGTATGTCAGTAAAAGAATTTGCAGATTGTCAGTAAAAAAAAAAAAGTGTATTGGGTTGGATTTATAGTTAAAAATTGTTTCCATTCCAAGTTTCATAGTAAAAAACAAATGCAATAGGAAAAATGGTAAATTCACTTAAGTTGCAATCATTCAAATTAATAAAAAAATACCAGCAGCAGGAAATAAGAATGTAAACCTCAAGAAGACTGGGACAAAAAACAAACAAACAAAAAACCAAAACAAAGCACAAGAAGTACCAGACCCTTAATTGCACAACATGTTAATATGATATTTCAAGATCTGCAAAATGCCTGAATCCTTCAGGCGTCCTTACTTTTTGGTTTCAATGGGGTTTGGGGTTTTTTTACATTTGTTTTATAATGTTATTTGGTTTTAAAATGTCCAAATACAGAACTGAAAAGATACGCAAAAAACAGACAACATGTTAGCTTTCTTGGTATATATGTTAAATCTATACACCTTATGCAAGTAAAATATATTATTTTTAAAAAATTACCGTTAACATAAGAAAGATGAAAGCAGATATTCCCAGAATGAGGATTTCTTTATTTCCTTTGCTTTCTGCATGCAATTTGCGATAATATGGTCCTATGAGATAAGTCTTTATAACAAGACATATAAGAAAGACAGCAGCCAGGGAAAAGAGGATTTGGCCAATCAGTATAAGTATTCTCAGTATTTCCATCACAATACTAGGAAAGAGAAGAAAAAAAGTTATTTGTATGTACTTTCTTGCCTCTAAACCAATTTCTAAGTGAAAATATCTAAGATTTTAAAACAAGATGCTTGGATTAAGGGTCTACATTTCTATTTAGGCACTTAAGTGACCTGATTATCAAGTATGCTGAAAAATTCAGCAGCTTCCAACAAATTCTAGAATTTACTTCCTTGCTGGTCCAGTGATGTTTATGTTTGTTAACTTTTTAGTAAAGTGTAAGGATCACTACTTTGCTCAAGCTTATGACCCACATTTATTGAAGTATAAACATTAATGCTGGAGACCTTCAGTGTTTGGCAGGTTGGGGGGAATCTGGGGGGACAAAACCCCACCTTTTCTTCATCACTCATTTTTAAACTGAATAATGGAGGTAGACTAAGCTGCTTAAGACATGATGAGCATTCCAAGTTAATATTGTGAAACAAAAATAAAGTATGAAGGCCCCAAGCATAAAGCGAGCTTCTACAACAATTACAATGTCAATTTTGCACATGAATTTTAGTTATACTTGTACATGAATTCATTAATAAGTATACATCTCTTCATTTTAAACCAGAGCCCAGAAGGTCTCCCTTCAGAACCAAAAGTACATAAATATCTACCTCTTATAATTTATTTACCTGGAGTATGTACTGGCTCCTGCCTGTATAAGAGTTGGCATGACAGCTATAAACAAACCAAGCTGCACATCCTGCATTACCAGCATGCCAAGTAATACGCTACTGTAGTCAATATCACCTGTGCATAAGAAAAAGCATCAGATTCAGAGAACCACTCAGGACTTTAAAAAAAAAGTTTAAAGTGCATTTCTCCTTTCAAAAGTTACTTAAAAGTCTTATTAGTGACCTTTTAAAGTTACTTCAAAGTCTTATTACTAACCTATTATTACTCACAGATACATTTCAAATCATACCTGCTTTTAGCAACAAAAACAAGTTTGCTTTTCAACCCTAAGAAACATAAGAAATGCCATTTACTGGGTTCCTTTCCTTTCTCGTGTCCTTGTGTCAAGATATTAGCAGAATTCATAGTTTCACTGGAATCTGACAGGCCTCACCATGAACACTTCTGCTATGGCTTCAAACTTGTGAGTTCTGGGCTGTCAACTGTGTGCCTTGGCACTTGTGCCACCCCAGCTCCCATACAGTACTTTAAACCTATATTACAGCAGCAGCTTATTATACTATATTATAGTATTATACATACTTCTTAAAAAGTGAAATGATAGGATACTGGGCTAGATAAATCTGCCTCATGGTATTTTAGAACAGGCTGGTATTGGGGACAGTTTAGAGACAGAAGTTGGCAGAGCAGGTAAATCTAGAATCAGTGCTGGCGCTGTCAAGTTGTGTAGTAGAAATTCTGGTTCTGACTTGATCACGAAATCGTTTAGTATTGTGAAGCAAAGTAGGACTGCTGGGGATATTGCCATGGTATTTTAGAACAGGCAGAGCTAAGCAAGCTACAAAAATAAAGAGGAGAAAAAAAGATCAATCAAACACCAATGCTTAGAATCCTAGAATCGCCATCAAGCTAGTAAAAGTTATTTAACAAGAAGAATGTGAGAAGCATGGGTTGCAGGCGATATATTTTATTGGACCAATACGTTGTTGGGAGGAATACAGACATGCTTTCAGGTACCAAGTACCCTTCTTCAGGTCTCTGAGAAAAAACCTTTTATTTCCCAATTTGTTTCAAGACACTGACATCTTGAAAATTATTGTAAGCATTTAAATCGGTACCGACTTTGGGATGGTCCGTTTAAGCTGCACATACCTTCTTTGTCTCCTCGAGCACTCCCTGCAAGGAATCTAGATACCAAGGGTGTGCTTGATAATGACAAACAAGTAGAAATGAAGACGCTCTGTGTTGGTCTTATCTGCAGTAAGTGTCCCCATAACAAGCCAAACGCAATCATCAGAACTGTCATGTAGCATGGTCCTTGCAAAGATATCTTCCATACCTCAAAGAAAAAAAATGCTTATATTTGCATTGTATAATCTGAGGGCTATTGTCTCAGTGATATGATGTTACAGTGGTTTTCAGTGCAATAAGAGGCAAAGATGAGAAAGATTTGAGTCATAACACAGAATTAATGGACTATAATAATTTTACTAGAATTTATACATGCAGGACTGGGATGCTCCTTACCAGAAATATTAAATAAACTGGAGGGAGTTCAGAGAGAAAAAAAAAAAAAAAGAAAATGATTATGGGGCTAGAATGCTTGGCATAGTAATTGTCCACAAACTGAACTACAAACTCCCTACAAAAACCAAATAGCGAGAGGAATTATTTGCCATGATTCCAGAGGAATGACTAGGAGTATTAGGGGAATATTAAGAAAAAGAAAAGTAGTAATTAACTATCAGTACAAGCCTCCTTCCACAGAGATCCAGAACAAAAAAAAATTAAAAGACCCAATCTCAAAAGTCATTTAAAACTAGACTGAATTATACAATTTATTATTATGTAAATGAAAAAAAAAAGTAATGTGGGCACTTAACTTCAGTAAGTGATATTTGCCAATCACTCAAATCATGTTGGGTATCCCATTAGTACCACACTAACACATTACCAAGCATGGATCAATCCAACAATGGCAAAACATGGACTAGTATATGGACTAATAGATCTTTATCTTTAACTTCTGTTATTTGAGTGATTGGCAAGTGTCACTTATGTTAACATTAAAGTGAGATGACCATGTAATTTTCTATGTATTGATAAAACAGACTAACATGATATCACTGACTCATCTATCAAGGAAAGAATAAGGCAAGTGAAGTAGATCTTAAAAGTATACATTGAATGGTTAATATTTTTAATCATTAAAATATATTTGCAGGCTTACCTAGTTAAAGCCAGCTATAATTTTCTTTATCAGTGGTTTTCAACCTTTTTTCATTTTGTCTCAGACGGCCAGAGCCGACTCAAGGTGATTTAGAAATTGCTCGTTCATTAGGGCGGGCTGGTGAATGGAGAGGCAGACAAGGTTTAATGGTTGCAAAAACGTTTACTTACGCTGCTTGTAGTTGCGACACAGATGGTCCGGTCGTCTGAACAACTATGTGAGTTGTTCCAGCTGGCGAGGCCCAAGCCAGTTAATCCGTCCGCAAATCATGCCGGAGGGAAAAGGGTACGTCTGGGATTGCGCTCGGCGACGGGAAGAAGGATCGATAGGTGATCAGTCTATCGATCAGCTAGC